ATGCAGGAGCGTGCATGTGCTCACGTCAAGGAGAAGGAAGCAGGGCTGTGAGTGCTGGAGGCGTTGTGAGCGCCAGGCACAGGCTGACAGGCAAGGACTACTGCTCCTGTAGGAAGTTAAACTGTTTCACAATAGTCACAGTTGCAGCGAGCAGCTCACTCCGGAGTGATCCTGCTTGCTGGGGAGGGAGAGGACAATCAGCACCGAGAGAATGAGTGCAGCCCAGCCTGGGATACAGGGGAGCATCCCGAAGATTATGCAGACAGATTCAGCATGTGTGGAGGGAGAGGATTTGCATGGAGAGCACAGCAGCTCTGTAAGCCCCTGTAGTGCTGTCCAGGCAGCACACGCTCGGGGTGAAGCGAGAGGAGAGGAGTGGTGCTATTACACAGCCCCCTGCAACACTGCTGCGGATGCACCTTGCTGTGAATGCTGCCCGAGGGGCAGAGGCCACTAAAACTGCCAGAACTGGCACCATAGCAACCAAGAAATGCACAAAGAAACTAAAACACTTCAGGGAGTGAAAATGTTGTAGACTTGGGATAAACTGGAACGGGAGAACAGCCACCCACCCATCCCTCAGTTCTACAGGGACATGTGAACGCGTTCAAATATTATGAAAAAGGGAGGTGAACCCCCGCCCCTCAAGCCCTCCTGCTAGAGCTCAGACCCAGCACTCATTAAAGCCTGTCCTAGTGAGGCAATTCAGTAGACTTGTCCCAGGCTTGGACTCACAAAGGCTCTGCAGGTAACTGGAGTCCTATTAGCTCAGGGTTGTCTGTATGCCCATGGTTACACTTTTTTGGTGCCAGAGCTGTTTGAAGCGATCTAAGCAATCCCAACTCCTCGGCACTCGCTCACATCCTCTCTCTTGTGCCAACACAACACTATACACAGCTGCTTGGCAAACCAGATCCAGGAGTTGATCTAGCAGAAAAGCCATCATCTTCTGTTTTCCAGGGGTTAGTTGCCTGCCAGTGCAGCTCACCGCAAGGCTCCAGAGCAGTGTCGTGCACCCTGGCTCGGCTTGGGAGGTGCCGGCTGTTCCTCTCAGATTTGGATCAGCTGATTTAGAGGGAGTTGGGCAGCTGCCGGCACCGCACCCTGCGTCATGCCCACACAGCCGAGTACCTGGCTGCCCAGGTTGCAGCTCTGCAGCAGTCCGAGCCGAGCTGCCGTAGGCTGGCTTTTCCCACTCCTCCTGGCACGGGACCCAGCCTTCTCCCTGCACCGGTTGCTGACTCCTGACTTTGCTCCCAGCCATTTCACCTTGCTAAATCGGCGGAGGACTGATTACAAAAGGCAGTGAAGGGTTTTCTGCTGGGGTAGCACACAAGGGCTGTTCGTCATCCCACGGCCGAGAACTGGACCTGGCAAGGAGCGGGAATGGGGTCCCCCAGTGGGGAGGGGATCCAGGCAGCAGCTCAGCCTGTGGCAAGCCTGAGCAGCAAGCAGCCCGAGCTGACCTCCAACCTGCTGAAATAAAGTGCTCCATTTCCAGACAGGTCAGCTCTCTGGACTGGCTTGTCACACAACTGCGTGTCCCTACGGCCAGTGCAAGGGCAAGAAATACATGGCTCAGGCAGGAGGGGACCAGGAGCAACACAGGGCTGCGTGGCTGCCCGCCGCCCCAAATCTCCAACTGCTTGCTCTCGCCCCACATCACCACTCAGCTGGGCTGGCACGCCATGGAGCAGGGCGGGTTTGGGAAGGAGCAGCCAGGACAGGGCTGGGCAGAGGTGACTTGAACTGTGGCCGCACGTTGAACTCCGTCCTCTGCCCTGATGCTCCTTCCCCATCCTCTGCCCTGCTGCTCCTTCCCCGTGGTTGAGGTCCTGCGGCAAACGGGGAGGCACCCCAGCCCCAGCAGGGTCACTGACTGGCAGGATGGGGCACCGGGGCTGCCCGGTTGACTGAGATGAGGCAGGAGCTAACGAGGAGGAGGACACTAGGCTAATTGGCCTCTGTGGCTCCCTGCAGCCCAGGAGCTGTGAGCGCCCATGCTGGCAGCCCCATTGCCTGCGCCCTGGGATGGGATGGGGCCAGAGGGCAGGCAGCCTGTCCTGGGAAATGGGGAGCAGCGGGAATAACTAGTGTCATTTTTCCTTTCTCACTTCAGTGTGAAACATGGAGGAAAAACCACCCCCCTTACCACGGGTACCAGCTGCCTGGACAAGATGCAGCTCAGATGGAAATGGAGCACCCCCTGTGTGCCGGGCGTCAGTAGCAGGCACTGCCTGGGGCAAGGGCTGTGGGACGGTGCCTGTCCTGGTGGGATATCCCTCTTGCTGGCCTCAGTCGCCCCAGCAGGTGACTTTGGACACACTCTGCATTGCAGTTGGCCAGACCCCGGGCATGATCCCTGCCTTTGACCACCTACCCACACTTTTCCCACGCAGCCAGCGGTCCCCGGGGTGCAGGTGACCGGGCACCTGCGGCACGCGGGGAGCTGCCGTGACCATGCAGAAGGCCTTTTCTCACGCCCAGTAATTACCTTCCCAAACACCGGCACTTCAGGCTTGCCCTTGAGAAGCAAACACTAATTTCAGCCGCACCCTTTCCTGCCCCGGGGCTGCGGGGTGAGGGTATCCTCAACGTACGCCGTGTTCACCGACAAGGGGTGTGGGACAGGAACCAGCCCTCGTAAAATCACCAGGATTGAACCTGCTGCCCTCAGCCTGCCAAACCAAACAGAGCTGATGTAAAGCAAACAGCAATGACAACAGCCTGGCTGCTGGCGAGGGTTGGGCAAGCAGCTGGTTTCCAGTTTGCTGGCCTCAGCAGATGGCGGCAGCGGGAAGAGGCGCTGGGAGTTCCCACCCTGCAGGCACCCAACACAGCGGCCGGGGCCGGGGTGGCCCCGAGGTTCCCTGCTCTCCCGTCTGCCGGCAGCGCTTATGCAACCCTCTATGGAAGACCGTGTTTGGGGTTTCAGGGGAGCCCCCTGGCCAGTGTGACCCACCCACCTGGCCCCGGTGCGGGGGGGGGGGGAAAGCCGATGCCGGTGGGTGTGTCCCCTCCCCTGGGTGTGTCCCCCCGCCAGCCAGCTCTCCTTGCCGGGTGGTTCACTTAGGAGGGCTTTGGCCGCCACGGGTTGTAGAGGAGGAAGCTGATGTCAGAGGGAAAGACACCCGAAGCACACCCAAAGGCTGGCAGCTGGGGAGGAGGCAGGGTGCCAGGAGCGGGGCTCTCCGGAGCAGCCCATGCCGCCCCGGCACAGGGAGGAGCGTTTGGTCTGTCTGGCCTCCGCTGGGCATTGCCGCCGCCAGTCATGGGAGCAACGCTACATGCTGGCACCGGGCAAAGTCTGCCGGGCGGTTTTGGCAGAGCAGGCTTTGCAGAGGATGCCGCCGGGAGGGGAGGGGAGGGGCGGGAACAGACCTGGCCACCCTTCAAGAGGTGGACCAGAAGACACTGCAACATCTGTGGTTCACTTTTCGGTTTGTTTCGATGCCACATTTCTGAGGTTTGCCTGGATGTTCACTTCACACACGCACCCCACTCGGCACCCCAGGTGATGAGCACAATAGACCTGCAGCACATGTGCTGCGGGTGCTCAGCCCGCACCTGCAGCAGGGCAAGAGCCCATACCTGCTCCTCTCAAAGAGCAGTGCCTGCAGCAGGGCAAGAGCTCATACCTGCTCCTCTCAAAGAGCAGTGCCTGCAGCAGGGCAAGAGCTCATACCTGCTCAAGAGTAGTGCCTGCAGCATGGCCTTCTGCAGCCATCCGCCCATCCCAGCCCATCCCCGGGCTCTTCCTCCAGCCGGGCTGTTACCACCACCTGTCAGGCTCCCCGGTACAGCAGGCTGCACAGCTGATCCGGGTTAAAAATAAATGCTCCTTTTCAGCGGGATTATTTTTAACCCTGGGCCTGTTCCCTCCCTCAGGTTACCAAACCACTGCCCTCCTGGTGTGCTGAGCAGGGGCACCCAGCAGCCACCAGCGGTCTGGGGGGCGGCCGCTTCAGCTGAGACTGCCGGCTGAAGGGCTCTCTAACCCACGCCCCAGACTCCTGCCTTCTACTTGTGGGGGCTCCCACGCGGCCGGACACTCAGGCTGAGGGGCTCCCCGGATGGGTGGGCAGCAGGGGCAGCGGCGGAGGGG